ACCTGCCCGCCCGCTCCCTGCCGCCGCACCAGCTGGGCGACCTCCACGGCGTGGCCCCCCTCCACTTCCCCCACATCTGTGCCCTGTGCGACAAGAAGATCTTCGACTTGAAGGTGAGTGGTTTTAAGATGCCCCCAGGGCACATTTCAGACCCTTGAATCATGATTAATATGATGATTAGTATGGCTGGTGATTAAGATGGCTGCTGGCTCCTGCCACCCCTTATTGCTAGCATTCATAGCCACGGAGATGCCCTGAGAGAAGCAGAAACAAAGCGCCATAGTTTCGCTTAGGGTGTCGTACATCTGTTTCATGGCAATTACTAGGGTTTCAAGATCTGGTTTTGTTTCACGTTTCGCTGTGAAAGGCAGTGAGATTATGGTGCTGGCGTGAGAAACGTGAGGTCCGGGCTGGAGTCGCAGCTCATCTCATGGGCCCAAAGCGAGGGAAGGAGGAGCTTGAAGCTGATCCTCTGCTTTGCAAGCTGGTATTGTAACCGTACATCTGCGGTTTCATCTGCCTCTCCCTTTCTCTTTGCGTTTCTGATCCCCAAGGCTTTCCCCTAACAGCCTGTGGAAGCAGCTTGCTTAAACAAAACAGTGCATTTTGATAAAACTATTTTAATAATTCCTCTGTTGAGATCTCTTCCTCCTCCTCCTAGTAGCTCTAAGGAAAATTTAGGACTTGGACTTCCCAGCTATTTCAGCCTGGAAGCAAGAAGCTGCTTAGCATGTGTAGTACAGACCACGTTCCTGCTTCTCTGCTCGTACTGCCAAGGGAGCTCTACATTCAACCTCCTCTTTGAGAAGAAGCTTCCTGGTTGCCCATACAGTCTAAGTGCTAGGTCATGTTATATAGGTCAGGTCTCGATTAGCCTCTGAGCCCCACAGCCATACATGAGTGCTGGCTGGCATTGTTCTGGCCTCCTAGTGATCCCCACTCAACAACTCCTTTTCCACCGCATCACAGGACCAACACCTAACTGCAAAGGCATCTGTTTTCACACTGGTGGTAGCCTGACAAAAATGTTACAACAGCATGTCTGTAGGAAGGAAGATAGCCAGCACATTAAATAGTACCTGATACTTACACACCCTGGGGTTTTGAGATATTTTAATACATTTACTCTTTCATATTTTCCTTTCACTCTTGGAGCAGCTGTTTGCAAAAGAGTTTGCTGTGGTTACTGCAACTACAGGACTGGCCTGAAGCAGCCCCTATCTAGGCCATCCTGAGCATTTATTTTTTGCATTAAACACTTCAAAAGGGCAGGGAAAATGCCATTATGATGAGTTTAGGTGGATCTCCTTGTTGGTGTTTAATACACTGCCTCATTTGTATCATAGAAGTGTAACTAGCTGAATGTACTTTGACAAATTTTGCAAATCTATTGAAATTAATAATGCTGTCCTGGCTGCCCTGTGTGCTGAGCACCTTCATCATGGACAGTGCAGGAGCTGAGGGTGCTAGGCACCTTGCAGGATGAGCTCTTCAGCTAGAGAAAATAATGGAATTAATAGAAACATACCATAATTTGAAACTAATACAGAGAAGCCTTCCTTTTGTAAAGTAACTGATAGTTTAACCTACAAATAATGAATCAATAAATGCATTGGATGAAGGTGGGCTTGGCTTCAGCATCACACAGTTTGATCTTCAGCATCTCAGTATTGTTTTCAGAATAAGGTAAACTGAATGGAGAAGCAATCTCTTGTAAATTTGCCTCAGGATTTTTCCTATGCTCATCATCTCTTTGTTTCAATGCAGGACTGGGATCAGCACATTAAGGGAAGTCTTCACATCCAAAAATGTATGGCTTTTTCAGATAAGTAAGTATTATTTTAGAGACACTCTTCCAACTGAATTTCTAACAGAACATCCCTTCTTTCAATGGCTTTACACTGGGAATTTACTGTCTACTAATTATGCTTTAATATTTATGGCACATTATGCATGCTCCTAAAGTTCTTTTCTTTCTTTTCCAGCACTGGTATCCGGTGTGTGTTAAGCTCAGCAGATGGAGCATTGCACTTATCACCAAATAATGCAGCAGTTTTCAATCCATCTAGTATTGAAGGTGAATGGTTGTATGTGCAATAGTTAAAAACACTTATTTTAAATTGAAAGGGAAGTCAGTCTCTGGGGGAAAGTGGATATTTTAAATGAAATGTGATACAAGTTTCCAAACTTTTTAGAACTTGTGCACAGAAAGGCTAAAAGCCAGTACCGTGCCTTTCAAAGTATGAATTTATTTTTCTTTCAGACAATGACTTGTTTTCACAGTACAGTGAAATAGTGTGTAATTTGGTGTAGAGACCATGAAATGAATTATTATGTAAATGGGGCATTGCTTACTGAGCACACTAACGCAATTAATATGAGTCAAGATTTTCATTAAATGTGTGTAATCCATTATTTAGATTATCCACCAAATGTCGGCTCATCTTTTATCACTACGTCAGCAAGATCCTTTGGCCAGCCAGGTCCTACATTTTCTTCTCTTCCATCAGGGGTAAGAGTGAGTACCTAAACAAATTGATCTCTGTGTTCAGATTCTTGTAGAAGCCGCTTCTAATTTCTGAAATTAAAAGCGTGAAGGCTTCCTTTCAGACAGTAATCTGAATATTCAGTCTGTTATTTCAACTTCCCTGCAGCTCTTTTATGCTTTTGATTTTGCCCAAATCAGAACTAGATTGTGGGTTCTTTTTCCAGTGCTAAAAGTTGTTTGCTTGTTAGAGAGATTGAGGGGATGGGGAGTAAATGGTTTTGCATGTATCCCATTGACTTTTTTCTGCCATTTTCTGAGTCTTTTTGACACAGGAAGGTCAGCTTCATCTTGGAATGAAAATTTGGATTAGTTTTTACTTACTCTGAGTATTGATCCTAGCAAGCAGCCTGCCATCTCTCCAGTTATTTATTTGTAGCAATTACTTTCTGCCTCTCCCATGCTGGGGTCCTTCTCCCAGGTAGCAACAGTGGCAAAGACAGTGGCTGCAGTTTTGCCAACCGTTACTCACCGGGGATCCCAGATCAATTCATTATACTGGACTAACTTTTTCTTATTTTACTTTAGTGTACTCTTTATATCATCTGCTGCCACTGGTAGCCTTCCAGCAAGTTTGCTTTGGTGTGCAGCCTGTGCAGTTTAGGTGTATTAGCCCCCCCAGCATTCAACACAGGTCTCCACTTACATTGCTCTAATGCACACTTGAATTCATAGGCCAATAATCAAAAAATGCCAGGAAAAAAAAAAGATAACATTAGAAGTTGTTCTTACACTGACAAACCAGAATGATTTTAAAAGGAAAAAAAAAGAAGAACATAAAAAAAGGCAAATAAAAGCAAATTATATAAATAATGGGAATATAAAGTTGACAGGGTTAAAATGAAGCTCAACATATATCAGAAAGCTACAATTAAAGCTGGAGGCATCAACATATTCATTGAGTCGCAGCAGTAACTCAAGGGTTCAAGTTCTCCCCTTGTCAGCTTTTGTGTATCTATCCTGATAGGGTCTTAGACACTCTGAAAAGCCAAGCTGAGTTGTGTCCCTGTGTCACTCCAGTTCGTATCAGGCTTTGTTTACAGAAACTTCACCCAGATTTGTTTAATCCAGCTAATTTTCTACTGGGTGGTTTTGCTGTGACAGAGGTTATTTGAAGGGGTTTTAGCTTCTGCCTGTCACAGGCACTGTGTATGCAAGGGAGCAAATAGCAGAGCTGCTCATGACGGCTGCCTCCAAGGTCAGAGGTGGAATAGCAGCGGGTGCAGAGGAATGTTCCTTTTCATCATGTCTGTCAACCTCGCAACAAATGAAATTACTGCTAATGCCAGTATCATTTCTCCTTAGAACCTGTCACTCTTTAGCATTTAAGCTGCCTGCAGAACTCCTCTTTCTGAATAACCTGCAACACTATGGGTGATAAAAGAAACAATAACTTTGATTTTTCCTGGGCGCTGTAAATCCTCTGTTTTCTTCAGCAGCTCATCGGGTGGACAGGGAGCTATATTAGAGGTGTTAGGATTGAGTTTGCTGGCTGTCACTCACCCCGCAATCCAGGTGGCTTGTAATTTATTACACCTTTGCACGGGAGTATTCACTTTCAGCTAAGCTGCTGCCATTTAACTGAGCAGTGGGAGATTATACTTGACCCTGCATGTAATCATAAACAAAGTGTTCAAATTTCTGGAAGAGCTTACTCTGTGCTATCCATCTGCAAATAACTCTATCCCTCTTCAAAAGGCAAACATAGTGTCACAAGTCTTCACTTGGGCATGGAGAGCCATTAGCACTGGAGGGATGGGACTATCATTTTCTTATTATCTTTAGAAAAGATTCATGTGAGACTCAAGAAAGGGATAAAGAATTTGAAAAGCAAGGAGCGGAAACATTGAGAAAAAAAAAAGCTGTGATTAAAAACCAACCAAATTGAATTGGTGAAATAATATGGCAAATGGTATGACTTGCATTTCACTGCTATACATCAAATTATTTCCCTAGTTGTGCAACTGCATTGGTAAACCCTTGTAGACATCAGTTGCAAGAAAGATTAACTTAGAGTCTTATTGAACATTACATTCACAACAGCTCCTCTAACTTCCTGACTGTGTATATGGAAGGTGTATATTTCTTTTCTGGCTGTGATTTATAGCTGTGTTGAATGAATGGATCCAATTTAACTTCAATCAGCTGTCAAGATTATTGCTTGGTACAGCCTGTCTTCTTCTAGTATGAATATGTGACCACTTCTTAATCATGAATTACCTGCAGATTTATGACATACCATTTTAATTTAAGCCATTGCCAATACTGGGGAGGTGGTAACGTCTTACCATCGTTTGATTTAATGTACTGCTGAACGTGTCTGAACACAGACTCTGGAGCCTACGCAGGGAACAGCAAAGGCTTTCTCATCCCATAGACTCTTACCAGACCTAACAAAACAAGCAGAAGGTGCCAGGTGACCTGGACTGTTCCTACACTGGGACTGCATTTGCTGCCAGAAAAGTTTCTTTTTCCTCTGCTAGCTGTAGTTCTATTCTTCTGTTGTGCACTACATGCTGCCTTGCCAGATGCATGCAGCCATCACTTCCTTTTCTATTCAAGGGGAGTTGAGTTGCTTTGTCTTTTTTGAGATCAGGTCTTTGTTATTTTTCTGCTAGTGAAAATATCTTACTTCTGGACTTTGGCACTTCTTTGACTTACCTTATGCGCCTGGCTCCTTAAGATGCAAGCTAAATAGGAGACCACTTGCTGCAGCAAAAATACACAAATGGTTAAGTGGTGAAGCCTGGAGGGAAGGTAATGAGATGAAGGTGTAAATAAGATAACATTAGCTCTGTAACTTGTGAACTTGCTGACAAGCCAAACATTTGTGATAGCTCTGGTGAACTTGATCCCACAAGATTACGTGATTTGCATCTTCCCTTGAATGGAACAATTTTAACTGAAGGTAGAATTACTTCTTCAGTAAAATCCTAACAGCAGAGGTCATAAACAGGGAAGTACTCTGGGAAGACTTAATCCTGTGTGAGTGATGTTTTGCATGTCATTAGCCAGGGTAAAATATGAGTGTACCCTGATGCCTCTTTGCACAAGGAGTGTAGAGTCTGCTTTCCATGTCAGGGAGATGGGCAGCTTGTTGGGAACTGCCCCAGCACTCCAAAATAGACTTCCACCCTTGGGAAGCAATTACTGCACCAGCCGCCATGTGCCTGTGCCAGTCCAATTTGGAACCTCAGCCTCTCTGCGTGTCCAGTGGTCACCGTGCCCCCAGGGAAAACGTCCCTCCTACTGTGTGTTGTTGCAATGAGAGGGGAAAGTAGTAGGTTTTCCAACCTGAAGTACATCTGTACTTCCTCTCACAAGTTAAATGGGGTCACTTTTACCCCCAGGGCAGAAGAAGGATTTAAATTCAGCCACTGCTATCCTGAACACGTCTGTAGTCACCTAAACTGATTTCTAACATCATAAATTCAACAGGGGCTGCACTGAGCATCTGTTTCAATCTCCAGGCTCCACCAGCACCACATAAATGGGTGTTTATGGACTACTTGAAAACACTAATTTTTTGTGCTTTGCTTGCAAATTACGTGCTAAGGGCTTTTTACTCAGCAACAGCGCGTGGTGCCTTCATGTGCAGGGAAGGCACAGAGCCTCCAGAGGGACAGACAGATGCAGGTGGGCTGGGGAAGGCTGACTTGGCAGAGGAGCCACAGGGGTCGTGCTGGTGAACCAGATGGGTACCAGACCCACAGGGAGCTCTGAGGAGGGGCTGAGACCTCCCCATGGCAGAGGTACCCTCTGTCTCCAAACACTGAGTCATCTCCAGACTCTCATTGCATATTGGGTAGTGTCCAGTGGCTTGTGCCTGTGGCAGCCCAGCCCTCTGCTGTGACGTGGCAGGGAGCTGAAGTCCTGGAGCCCATAAGGTTTGAGGTTGCAAGTTAGTTTTTGCAGCGATAATATTAAACTTGCTTAAACCAGAGCATCTTTTCAAGAAATTCTCTCCAGACTTGTAATGTCCAAGATTTTCTAAACCAGGATATTAAAATAAAAGGTTTTAAAGAAGGATAGCTGTCCTTAGTAACAGGTATGCAGAACAGAACATTTCATACATTTTTTTCAGAAATATAAGGTCTTATCTAGTGGCTGGAATATCTAAGATAAAAACACCATTTTAACCCAATACATTGTATGATTCTGTGATAAGTTGTTGGTTTTTTTCCCCCAGTTTCCCCAGAGGAAATCTACACTGGGTCGAGTTGTTCACATCTGCAACCTCCCCGAGGGAAGCTGCACAGAGAATGATGTCATTAACCTGGGCCTCCCTTTTGGGAAAGTCACCAACTATATCCTCATGAAATCCACTAATCAGGTACTGTGCATTTGGGGTCACCAGTATTGACATCTATTGACATAAAGACAAAGTCTTTGGAAAAAATCTCTTTTTTTGTAATAGAAACTTAAATACATGAAGCCTGCTCTTAAAGTAAAAAAAAATAATAATTGCTGTTAGCAGAATGAGATGGTGGCATAAACATGACCACTGGAGGTCATGTTTGAAAAAAAGAGATGTTTAAAAGTGCTAGTTAACATTGTTCAGGTTTTTTACTCTTTTTTGTCTTTGGTCTGGCTGCTCATGCTCTGTTGTTCTGCTTATATCTGGATGCCTTGCAATTCTGCAAGGCACAGCTGACAATCTTGGGAGCAGTGCGTGCTGCAGTGTCACAGTTCTGCATCCTGTCAGCAGCTGACCATGGTGTAGAAGCACCAGTGAGGAAGTGAAGGAAAGGTGATGCTTTCATATATTGAGAAAGATTAGATTCCCAGTCATTCAATTTTTAACTAAACTGGCTTCTAAAGTTGCATACCAGCCTTGATAGCTGGGTCAAAACCATTATTTTGCAGATAAAAGAAGGCTAAGCAATGGACTGAGTTAGTATTTCAGCTCCAGGGCTAGAAAGCTACTCATTTCTGTACTAGCAAGACATTTTGCATGAGAAGAATCCAAATGAAAATTATTGTGCCGCCTTTTCTCTCTTATACTTTTATTTTTACGCATGTAGTAGATTTTAAAGCTCTCCCCATTTGTGCTAGGCCTTTCTGGAAATGGCTTACAGTGAAGCAGCACAAGCCATGGTGCAGTACTACAAAGAAAAACCTGCTATGATAAATGATGACAAGTTACTTATTAGGATGTCGAAAAGATACAAGGAATTGCAGCTGAAGGTAAGATTCCTGATGAAAATTCCTGAGTTTCTATGGCACATCCAGGAAAATACATCTAAAAATCTTTGCTGATTACTGATTTCTAATTAATGCTTTAATATTATGGAAAAAGAAATTAAGAAAGATAAATTAATTATGATTTTTTTTTATACTTAGCTGCTTTCTCTGGTACTAGATTTTAACTCTTGGAAGAAATCCCGTTTTTCAAAATTCCCTTCTGAGCTTCCTTCTGAGTGGGCTCCCCTCATTGCTTGGTCTAACCATACCAAGCAGCGAAGGCACGGCTAAACATCACACTGATTTCTTTCCTTTCTTTCTTTATGTGAATGACCTAAATTAAAAAGCAAGATTTTAAAAATATTTTACATAGAGTCAGAATAGAGCAATAGTCTTTGGACTTTCTGTAGAGTGTGTGACACTCCTGATGTGGACACCTGAGTCATGACCAAAAATCAGCGCTCTTGTGAGCATATTTATGGAAGTTGTGGGAGTACTGCCATGTGTAATGTTGAGAGCATATTTTTTGCATGGAGACCTCGACTGGAACTGGCAATGAAGAGCTGAATAGCTTCATATTATATTATCTAACACAGTACAAAGTTATTTTATAAAATAACTCTGTAATGTTCCAAGTTGAGAGGTTAAGGGGCCTTTTATGAGCTTTGAGGAAAAATAAGTAAGTCAGATTATTTGGTTTGACCTTTGGAAAATTCTGTTTCTTTCCTGTACATGTGTAATAGTTTAAGGGGACTTAAAGGAGTTGCCAAAAGTCTGTAAACCAGGGCAGACTTTCTCAGTGTGGTATGGTGAGGTGTTCAGATGTAAGGTGGCAGACAGTGCATCTTAACATAGAGACAGAACAAGAATTTCCCAGAAGAATGTGGTAGTTAGCCCAGATTTCAGGAAGAATTTTAGCCTTTCCAATGGCAGTTTTTCAGGTCATGGAATTATTTTTCTCAGCACAAGCAAAAGCCTTTTCTCTTTATTAAAAACAAACAAAATGCAACATGGAAGGGGGAATATGCATGAGCTATTTACCACTACAAACTGCTCTGACTTCCTGCGTGATTATGTTGCTCAGCTGTGCATGCTCCAAGTGTTTGACGAATTGCATGCACTCCAGCCTGGATTAGTGGATCTTTTGTAAATGATCTTGAATCTCAAGTAATTAACACTTCCAATACGCGTCTTTCTTGCATTTAGCTTTTCTGAAGCTCTTGTGTCTAAACATAGTCTTTTAGAGCTATACTCCAGCATGAGCTAAACTGAGACGCTGAGAAGGCAGTTCATTCCTAGAGGATCAGAGATAGGCTGCTATACGTATTTAATACAGATATTAGAAAAATTTCCTGGTTAGTTTCCTCTTGCATCCAGTTCCTAGAAAATACTCTGTAATGAATGTGTAACAGAGAATGACAAGCTAGTTTTCAAAGCCTGCTACAGCAGCCAAGTACGAGGAGAGAGTGCTTCAACGTAATGGAGCAAATTTTTCCATTTATTTAACTTTACTGCTTTGATCATGTTATTGAAATACCAGCTGCAGAAAAGACAGTAACCACAACACAGAAACCAAATATTTCTCAGTAGTAGTATAATTGAATGATGCATGGATGCTGTTTCTTGAAGGACAGATCACCTTTATTAGCTTGGAGAGTAGTGCAGCATGCTAAAGAGTGTCTTTGTCTTATTTAGAAACCAGGTAAGAACGTGGCTGCTATCATCCAGGACATCCACTCACAGAGGGAGAGGGACCTGCTGCGTGAAGTGGACAGGTAAAGTTTCTCCATAGTTTGGAATGGGGACCTGGATAGGTCTGTAAACCTGCAGGTAGAAAAAGCATTATCTGTGTGCTTCCCTCTCTTACCTCATTTGATTTCTTGATTTGGATTTCACTTCAAATCACTGCAAAAGTATAAATGGGTACAACAGTCGATACAGGGCCTATATAATGAGATCAGATTGAAACTGCACATGTTATGAAAATAAATGAACTCTTTCCTACTGATGATGATGACTCAGAAAATATGCCTGGCATGTGAAGAAGACATAAAGCTGTTCCCCTCTCCTCCCACTTGAGTGAAAAGCGTAAAGGCTGGGGGTGCTGCAAGACCCAGCGAGAAGCAGCCTGTTCAGATGAAAATGTATTTGGGTATATTTCTGATCTGCCTGACTTATGGACCTTCCAGCCAAAATGGAGAGGAGTCACAGACCTAAAACATCTCTTTTAAACAGGTGACATTTGTCACTTCTGTCTCAGAGATGCCTTAGATGAGTGAGTATTAAGGGTGCAGACATTAGGGTCATTGTAAGGGTATTAAGGTATTATAAGCTTTTAATGCTAAACCCCTGTGAGACACTTCTAAGAATGAATGAATATATTCTTGACAGATCTATGGGGATTTAGTTAAGCTCTGTGGATATGACACTGCCTTTCTCCTGTTCACTGTGTTTGCAGCTGTGTGGTCCATGTCTGTGAAAGGCCTGGGGTCTCAGGTTCGCAGGCACCAGCGCAGTCCCCATGTGTTTCCAGTGTACAAGAACTCGGTAGACCACAGTGGGTCAGCCAGTAACAGCTGCCTTTTCCCTCTGCAGCAGGTATGGCACGGAGAGGCCCCGCTCTCGCAGCCCCATAAGCCGCTCCCTCTCACCCCGGTCCCACACTCCCAGCTTTACTTCCTGCAGTTCACCCCACAGCCCGATGGGGACCAGCAGAACTGACTGGGGAAATGGGAGAGAGTCATGGGATCAGTCCCCGTATTCTCGACGGGAAGAAGAAAGAGACAGCAGAGAATGGCGAGAGAACGGGGATGAGAAGAGGGACAGGACTGACACATGGGTACATGAGAGGAAACATTATTCCCGACAGCTGGACAAGTTTGATTTGGATGAACGGATTGAAGGAGGCAGAGGGCACAGAGAAAAATATTTAAGGAGTGGTTCTCCTGGCTCTCTTCACCCTTTATCTGGCTACAAAAGCAGGGAAGATGACTATTACCGAAAAACCTCCAAGTCAAAGTCTGACAAGTTTCAAAGGCAGCTGCAGGATTTACCCGGGAGATCTAAGAGAAAAGAAGAGGCAAAGCTAAGGGAACGCAGGCATTCTTACAGCGAGGACACAACCAGAGAGGAGGTGGCTGAACAGAAGCACAGCAAAGCGTCTGAGGGCTCCAGGCAAAAACAAAGTGAGAAGAATAAGGTGAAGAAAGCTGAAAAAGACCAAGAGGAAGCTGCTGCTGCTGCTGAAGGCAGTGATGTGAAAGAAACTAAACCTCCTGAGAATGAGGTAAATAGAGATCTCAAACTGTATGTAAGAATAAGGTAAATGCTGAAGCAATATATTTTCTGAAATACTTTAGGTCAGTTGTTGTGGGTGTGGTGCTGGTGATATGCATTATTTTGCCATGATAAAATCAAGAAATAGTCGTAGAAGAGATCTCGAGAGGTCATCTTGTCCACATGGGCACAAGCTGGAACACAGGAGGTTCCACTTCAATTTGAGAAGAAACTTCTTCTCAGTGAGGGTGACAGAGCACTGGAACAGGCTGCCCAGAGAGGTTGTGGAGTCTCCTTCTCTGGAGACATTCAAAACCTGCCTGGACGCCTTCCTGTGCAACCTCATCTGGGTGTTCCTGCTCCGGCAGGGGGATTGGACTGGATGATCTTTTGAGGTCCCTTCCAATCCCTAACGTTCTGTGATTCTGTGATTCTGTGATCTTTGCCCAGATCATGCAGATCTATTACACCATTGTGGTGTTCGATACATGAACGTTGTCTTTCTGTGTCAAGCACGGAACCTCTGGGTAACCAGTGATGGGGAGTGGACAGGCAACTGAAAACAAAACCAAGTGACGATCTGCTGTTTGCATGCAGGTTATGTGTGGAGGGACGATTGCCCTATTGCTTTCTCTGTGAGAGTCTGCGCAGAATACCCCACAGCTGCTCTCTCTGCATCCATCACCTCCTTCCACTGCCTGTGATGTGGATTGAGTTATCTGGGAATTAAATGGTACTTTACAGGGATGCACAACATTTGCAGGACAATACAGGGAACTGGTTGTTATGCTGCTAAAATGGAGAATGAACTTTAATGAGGAGCATTTTCTTTTTTCTATTAAGAATATGTCCCTACCCTCAGCTGTGGCAGGGATAATTCACAGGACCCCTTTCCATGTGCTGGCAGGAATCTCTTCCCATGGCAGAACCACTGAATCAGCTCACCTGTAAAATTATGGAATCTCTGGAGAAATACTGAAGTATTCTTAGTACCCACTCACTAAAGTAGCAGCGTTTTTGGGTTTGATTTTCCACTGGGAAAATCCAGATGCCTCAGAGAGGTAGAGAGGTCTCTCTCTTGCCAGATGAAACCAAGATGCCTCATTCACTTAGTCCCAGTACAGCCCATGCTCATTCCTCTATCCTGTGGGGATCTCGTTACTGGCTTGTGGCCACTTTGCCTCCCCCAGTCCCCCCTGGTGATACACTGCTGCCATCCGCCCCCGGGGATGCTGGCAGAGGAGGCTGCAGAGCTGACCAGGGGTCCATCTCTAGCTTGTGACTTTGAGCTCGGGCCATCTTTGGTTTTTTTAGCTGACCTTGTGTTCATTGTTCTCATGTGGGGGCAAGGCTGGTGGAAATCTTTAGATCTTGTAACTCAGCGACTCTCTGTAACAGGCAGCAGCACTACCTCATGCCACAGATATGTCTGTCTGTACCACCTTTTATCATCTTTCTCCTTTGGCTGGTATTTCACTGCAATGGATGGGTCCTTGGGAGGAGATGCCGGAGTGAAATGTCAGACAGCATCCTAAATCACCACTGTTGCACATCCCTCTGCATGGTTTTCAAGTTATTTTAAAGTGGCTTTGTTAAAGCCACACCTCTCCAGGGACTACTGCTAATAATTTATTTTAAAAGGAAGGAATAGGTTTGAATGTCTTGAACTCACACTTGCTTCACCCCTCTTTTACCAAGTGCCAGGTAGTACTGTGGTTTTGTTTTTCCAAAGTATAAACTGTGCAAGCAGTTGCATTCTCGACTGATCCTACATCAATAAACAGAACAGTTGAGGTCTTTGCAGAGTTTCCACTCTGCTGCTATCCTCACCATGTCTGAGCCAACGTAACAGATGTGGGTAGAGAACAGAGGAGTGGAGGCTGGAAATTTTAACAAATCCACATTCTCCCCCACCTGCCTTCTAGACAATTCTGTGATATAAATTACATCTAATATTGTTTAAATTTCTTTTTCTTAATTTTTATTTGTGCAACCAAATAGTTGGGTCTTTTCCCACAGCCTAGTTGACTTGCATAAACTCTAGAGATAAAGAATGTGACCTTGTGAGTGACTTTGCTTCCCCAAACCCAGAATAGAAACATACTAGAGCACCACTGTGTGTTGCTATCTGTGTATATGTTGTATTTATTTTAGCTCGGAAAAGAGGAGCAAGTTCCAGAGAAGAGCTCACCTTCAGCTCATAAACAAGGGAAAGAATCTGGAGAGATTCTGGAAAACACAAGAAAAGAGAAGGTTGGTGACACGTTGTTGCTGCAGCTCCATGACAAAATGAGTGAAAACCCAGGTTTGGTAGCATATTCTCCCAACCGAAATACTAAAACTTCACAGAAAGGCAGGTAAAGGGGTTGTAGAAGGGGGATGTCTAAATTAACTTGCCTTGTCTTGACCTCTGCTTTAAGGGATAGCTTTTCCTGAAGTCTCCAGAACTCTTTTTTTAGTTGCTCTTTGCCCACGTAGATTGCTTCACACGCGTAGCCCTTGGCACTGGCAGCTGTACATAACGTATGCCCAAGTGAACTGTGTAACTTTGTGAACTGTGCCCAATAATAGAAGATGTGGTCAGTTAGTGGAGAAGGAGGCGGACTACTGATGAAAACTTTCAGAATATTGGCCTTAAATGGGCAGTAGATAGCAGCCTCTTCTGATTGTTTCTGGTTTTAATTAAATAATGTCTTTACAGCACCCCTACTGCAGCATTGCATTCCAATGTCCTTGGAACTTCTCCAGCTTCATATCTGTAGGGTCATGGGTTGATGGTCAGATATGGAAGCTATTGATATCTGTTGCTGTAGAAAACTGATCTCCTGGCAAGAACAGTGTCAACTCTCAGAGTTTTCATGCTGGTTTAGGATTCTAGGAGGGGAAGTGTGGGAATGGCCAGCCAGGAGGAGAATACAGATTATTAATAGATTATGTGCACACGCTGAGTCTGGCACTTGAAATCTAAGCTGCAAGTATGTCTTAGAAGTAACATATACCTTATAATTCTAATGCTTCTGAAGTCCAGTATTAGTGTCTGAGTCCTGTAAGTCTAGAACTACATGTATGAGGTATTTAAAATGATAAACCTTGGAGTATAACTGTAAAACTGATTTTTCTCAAGGTCTAGGCTTATCTCTGCCAACACAGTGCCTAGCAGAGGGCTCTTGCTGGTGGAAGGAAATTACTACAGAAGGTAGCCATGGTTTCTTAGTCTCTGTAGGAGTTTAAAGGACCTAGTCCAGCAAAGTGAAAGCCGCAGCGGCTGGACTGGGGTTCAGTATATTCTCATTGTGCTGCCTACTTCTGGCCACCCCAGGATGGAGGTGGAGGAGGGGGAGAGGTTCATTTCCTTAGGATTCACATAGCACAGTCAGTTGCATAATAAAGTATAACAGGATGTGCCTTGTTCTACTGCTTAGAGAAAAGTAAGAAGCAAGAGACTGCAGAGACTGTAATTCCCAAGACAGTTACAGAATGTCCACAAAGTGAAGTTTATGCGATAATTAAAAAGAGGTTGCTTGTCCTTGTGCATAACGTTTAAAATCACAACACCAAGGCAAGTCGCTCTTTGAAACTAAAATACAAGAGGGGGTAGACATGGCCAGATCAAAGTTCTTCCTGGTTGCTGATGTTCAAAGCCCACTTTTTAACCATGATGATCTATAATCACTGATCTCTCAATTTTTTTACATCTCTGTGACAGGACCGAGACTGGGAGAGTGGAAGTGAGATAGAAGGTGAGACCTGGTATCCTGCTAACATGGAGGAATTAGTGACAGTAGATGAAGTGGGAGAAGATGATTTAATTATGGAACCTGATATAACTGATCTTGAAGAAATAGTACCAGTTGATCAAAAAAATAAAACTGCCTCAGAAATGTGTCCCTCTATGTCAACCATGTTAGAGCTGAAGAACGATAACAGCCACCTAACCAGGAGTGAAGACAAATTTCCCCAGAAAGCTTTAGAAACAAACTTCAGATCAGCAAAGGGCAGTGTAGCTTCTCGAGGCTGTCAGGATGATGACGAGGCTGATGATAATGATGATGCCGTAACTGAAGCATCAAGCCTAAATCTGGACCCTGAGCAGAAGCCAGAGGAATTGCAAGAAGACCAATCTGCTAAAGAGTCTGATCCCCAGCAGAAGGAAGGAAAAATTGATAAGAGCTCTGACACTCGCTTAGAGCCCGAAGATCACCATATACCGTCTGTTCATCTGAAAGAAGAGACTCTCCAGCTCCCTGATACATTTATAGATGATTACAAACAGATGGGATCACAAGGAGCTGAGAGCAAAGAAGTTATGGAAATGCTTGTTAAAAACGCTAGTGAACAAACAAGACACGGAAGCCAAGAGTGTCCAGAGGCCAAGGGTAACTACTGTTTTTTTTCTTTTCAGCCCACAGAGAGCCTTGCATGTTTTCTCTGACAGTAGACTGAAATTTATTGCTAACAAGAATAAATGTTGCTAATAGTATAAAGACTTGTCCTTGGAGCAGCTCAGTAAAAGAACCCCAGTGCCTTTCGCCAAGCTATACCATTAGAGCCTCTTAGCTGAATAGTGTAAAGGAAATACGATCAGCAGCTCACAAGCTTTCTGAAAGGCATAAGCTGCTATAATTGTCATGTCAAGGTTCACATGAGTTTAGCTGAACTCTGTCAATGCTGTGCTAAATTTATTTTGAATTGTCAATGAAATGAGTGACAGTCTCTGAAGGTCAACAAAAAAGTATCTGTAATGTCTGGCTGGCTCCTGGACAAGGTGGGTATTCTTACACACTGTACCGAAGCGTTAGTAACGTGGAAATCATCCGTAGGTTGTTGCTCCTCAGTCCCTCTTCACGCAAATACGTGCCTTTTGTCGGGACTTGCCTTGTCATCTCCTGTTATCTAATGCATGCTGCCTTTAATATAAATGATAGGACATGCTGTGGGATAATGCCAATAAATGTAATCATAGCTGCCTATTAATATTTTAGCTGTTAGGAAAAAAGGGATCTTGAGTGTCTGAAAGTGAGCTCAGTTCCTCGTCATGCTTTCAAATGAAACGTGAGTGGGCTGTGTGTAGTCAGGGGAAGTGGAGAACAACATAGACCGTGTTGGCCAGGAGTGCTCTTTTTTGTTGTTGTCAGAGTCCATGTGATAGAGAAGGGTTTGCTGGAAGATTTCTGAGGGTACAGTTTTCCACCAGAAAACGTCGAAACAATTAATGTGAATGTCTGATTTTGTACTGAATTCTTCCTCCAGGTCAGAATCAGTTTTCAATACTCACCCGTTTGGCCTGAAGACAACTTGCCAGGCTTTGTGTATTTGGAGATGACACTGCCATGCAAACTCCCTGGGACTGTGGGGGTGGCAAGGTTGGCCCCCTGGGCTGCCCACATCACCGGCAGCCAGCTGAGGAAAGAGTTGGGTATCCCAAGAGCATAGTTACTTCAGCATCTCAGCTTTCAACTTGCCAGCAGGGAGCCTGGAAGCTCCAGGGGAGCTTGTGCTTCCCAGGTTTCTGACAGGGACTTGATATCTGGGATCTCTCATGCAAGGCTCTGGGCTCTCTGCAAATGCAGCTGCCAGCTCAGAAGCCCAGAAATCAACTTAAGTGTGGACTTAAGTTGCCACAAAGGCCCTGAGTGTCTTAAGAATAGCTAACTGAAGCTTGTGGGTTTTTCAGAATCTCTGCTGCAAATCTGGAAACCTGGGATGGGCTTAAAGTTAACTTGAAAGCCAACCAGTCAGGATTGTATATTATTTTCTTTTAAATCATGTAACAGATGTATTTAAAACAATGAAGAAAAATTCATTCTCATAGCCAGAAATTGCAGATCTTTGAACTACAGACTTGAAAGGCAGGAAGGGTTTGGTTTGGGCAAAAATATATTTGTTTTATGAGAAAATATATTCCTTATCTAGGTGAAATTTGCAACGCAATAAAAATTTGGTCAGGGTAAGGGAACTGGTTCTTTGATGTAAGAACTGAAGAATAGGAATCAGACCAGTTTATCTGTAATCCTGTTGCTTTGTGATAAGAAATTTCATTTTTTTCAAAATAAGAACAATTCAGATGTTGGGAAGGGAGAGTATCTGTTCTTTTGACTGCCTTTATCTACCTCAGCAAATCAATCCACTGTTTTTCACACCTTGAATCTCCTGCCTGTGTCCATTAATGTCAGTCAGCAGAGACCAACCATCCCATCCCTACTGGCCAGGAACCAAAATCTTTAAGTGGCCAAGAGCCATAAAGCAGAAACTATCCCTTGGAGAGCTGAGGATGGGAGAAGAGTGGCTCCAGGGAGAAGATGGTGGTGGAGGGGTCCTACAAGAGGAAGGTTTACTCTGCCAACACAGCTCCTGAGGCAGTTTGGAGATTTGCTCTCAGCAGATCCTGCTGGCTCCTCTTTCTTAGCAGCCCCTGTGTTCTCCCAGCTTCATCAGTGGTCACACAGTACCATATGTGGTTATGGAGCTGAAGTCAGGCCATACTTGTGCCAGAGGCATGTAAAATGTTATAGACCTATTTAGAGATTAAAATAAAAAAAAACCCAACAAACATAATGAAAGTGAAATCAGAAATAGAAAAATTAGCTGCTGCGAGAAATAGGGGTGCCTGCACTGTGCAGTACAGCTGTTGGAGTTGCACTGAGTAGGCCTCTGATTTGAATGGAAAAACATTTTTTCAAAACATTTATGGATCCACCCAGAAAGTGTTCCCAGGAAGTGTACAAAAGTCTTTTTAAACTAATAAACTGTTTTCATTCAAGACATTTATTCTTTTGTTAAGAAAATTCTAGGTACCTGGAAATGAGATCTCTGGACTACTCGGAGGTAGAGTCTAAAAGAAGAAATTCTCCGCCAGGCTGGGAACAAGAGGACGTCTTCACTGAACTCAGCATTCCCCTGGGTACGTTGGGAAGCTCAGGCTGCCCTCAGCCTGCAGTGCCGCCCACTGCAATACCTCGAGCTTACAACAAGATGTCACTTTAAGGCTACTTGCTATATTTATTTTTCAGAACAGATGTGAAGGAACAGGGTATACGACAGAGCTGTTGATTATAGATCATTCCAGGTGAATGGCAAAAGATAGCTGTTAATGTTGCTGATGAGATTAAATAAGTTCCCTTGGTCTATATATGTAATATATATGAAAAATACATAGTAATTTAAAAGGCATTGTCATAAAAGTACTGATTATGCTTTCAGTATAGGCAGGAGTATTGCTTTTACTGTGTAAACACTGATCATAAGTAAAACGCCCGGGAGAGGTACATCCTAAAAAGCAATCTGTGTAACTTAAGCATGAATTTACTGCTAATAAGTACTACTGCTCTTCTAGCCCTTGAGGTTACACAGTGAAGTTTCTAGTCAATATTTGGTGTGAGAAGGTACATTTTTAAATATGTGTAATATCTAAGAGAGAAGTGGAAGGTCTATTTGCAATGCACAGGATTTTAAACTGCAGCTCAGTATTGCGAAATTAGGGAAATCAGAGAGGTAAATCCCGGATTCAGTCTTCATATCTATGATATTTAACTCATGAGCAACTTTTTGCTTTGAAAACAAGTCTGTTTTGGAGGAGAAGGGTTTCAACTGACATTTTAATGTAATTCAGAATTTCTCAATAGGTGTGGAATTTGTGGTGCCTAGAACTGGGTTTTACTGCAAGCTCTGTGGACTCTTCTACACAAATGAAGAGACAGCAAAGACAAGTCATTGCAGAAGTACTGTTCACTACAAAAATCTTCAGGTAAAAACACACTTGAAACTGGCTAACAGCTCACTCATGGGGTGCCCTGTAAGACAGATGATGCTACAAAAAATTGGTTTTTATTCTATGGACAGAATTCAAAGTGAAATTTAGGTAAGCAAAATATTTCAGTAGTTCCAAATGTTAGCACACTTAATTTCTCACTCCCAGATACTTGAAATCAACTTTTAGATAATAAATAAAATGGGGTCAGGTGATAATTTTCTCATCTATTTTGGGTTCTTTTCACTAGCACAGCATGCAACTCAGATCTCTGTTCATGAGGGTCACAGGCGCTTTTATCCCTGGGAATGGGCCCACAAACAGCCTTTCTTATTTCTTAATTTCAGCAGCAGTAAACATGCCACTTGTTTAATAATGTTGCCAGACTTATTTTTGCATTAACGTGAATTTCTTCAGCGTGTTTCAGCACGTAGCACTTTGTGACGCACAGGCTCTCCAAGGCATTTCCTCTGACCGGCTGAAATCACCTCCCTGTGC